GGTTCCCGGCTATCAAATCGAAATAGTGTCTGGGGTGTTTAAAGCCTGTATTCAAAGCAGAAGCCGTCTAAGTGAGGAGTCAACTAAGTTCACATGGAAGAGGCATATCAGCTTGTGTGATCCAAAGATGAAAATAACAAAATTCAAACATGATGAAGGGAAAAGTTTCAGAGCTAAAATTATGAACACCCAAATGGTAGAGGGCTATGGAGGACAGTGGGGGGCCCAAAACCCATGCGCAGAGTAACTAGTTAGATTTAGTCACTGGCAGACCCTCACTAACCACAGACAGCCTTAAGATCAAACCATATCCTTGTCGTCTTGATTATGCTAGATCAAACTTGATACTTGGTCAGCTAACCTCCCTATTGACCCAACCTGAATTTGTTCTAGGTGCGAGTATCTCTTGTGTGTTCCATGACAAAAATGTCTTCTCTGGCTTTTCAAATATTGATGGTGGTCTTTTCTATCTTACACGTTATTTGTATTTTTATATTATTATTTTATCCTTACCACGCTATTATGATTTTGTTTTTTATTTTTCCTACTGGGCTTCCCAGTTTTTGAAGCACAGAAGGAGTAGATGCATAGAGATAATAACTGATGCAAGGGTTTACAGGGGATTTAAGGGGTGGAGGGTGGGAGATAGGGAGCATGAGGGGATTTCTGGAGTAAACAATGAAGGTGGGAGGGAACACTAGAACTGACCATGATTATACAACTTATTTTAAAGGTGATTTATCCATGGGAGGGTGGTGGTTCTAACGTTGACTGTAATAATTATTGTACAATTCTTCTTGATATGATTAAACAATTGAACCATTGAATGGTATGATATGTGGATTAGGTGCCCAATAAATGTGTTAAAAAAACAAAAGACATCCTCAATTGTAATATTCTTTGCTTTTATCGGAGCATTATCAGCTGTATGATTTATCTTTCACTGTTGGAGTAGGATCCTCCCCTTAGGGGTAGGCCAATTTGAAAATAGTCATAGCGAATGAATAAAAAACAGGCGACTTCTCTGAACACTCCTTTTCTGATATTCTAACATGCAGTATTCCCTTGTTCTGTTTGAATGACTGTGTCTTGATCCAAGTACATGTTCCTTATCAACACAATGGAATATTTTGAAATTCCCCTTCTTCTTAAGGCTGTCAAGAATTTGAAAGATTCACCCAACAAATGCCTTTGAATAGTCAATAAAACATAAGTAAACATTTTTCTGTATTTTCTGTTTCAGCCAAGATCTGCCACAAGTTCTCTTCTACATCTACCTTGAATTTCTGGTAGCTCCCTGTGGATTCACTGCTGTAACAATGGTTGGATGATCTTTTGGAAAACTTTACTTGCATGTGATATTGTTGAGTAATTCCTGCATTGTTGGGTCATCTTTCATTGGAATGGTTACAAATATGGATTTCTTCCAGTCTGATTCTTCCAAATTTCATGGCATAGGTGAATGTTTCATCAGCTTGTTGAAATATTTCAATCTATATTCTGTCAATTCCTGGAGTTTTGCTTTTTGCTGATCCTTTAGTATAGCCTGGACCTTTTCCATCACTGTCATCACTTCTCGATCATATGCTACCTTGTGAATTGGCTGTATGACTATTTCTTTTTGGCTTAGTGACTGTCTATTTCTTCTATCTTGTTTTGATGCTTCCCGCATCATTCAAAATTCTGCCCATAGAATCTTTTTGTGCAATAAATCAAGGCTTAATTTTTTTAGTTCTTTCAACTTAAGATTAACTCCACGTTCATCACTTTGCTCAACAGTAAAATCAAAAATACAAATTGAAAAAACCTGTACATCCCAAGAGTCAGTCACATGTCTTGTGTTACTAAGGACACAAAGTGGTGATGCTTCAGTCTAAGCACCATTCTCAGACAACATATACTGCGTGTATTGGTACATTAAAAACATTTGTCACTGTGTTTTTTTTAATTTTTTACTTTAATTGCTTAAAACATCGTAGTCGTGGCTCCAAAAAACGCTGGTGATACCAACAGTAAAGCTAGGAGGAAAACTGTGAGAATCACAGTAAAGTTAAAGAAAGAAACCATTACAAAATTGAACCAGGTCACCGCATGCCTAAATTGGCAGCTAAATACAACTGGCTAAGTCGACATTATCACAATTTTTTTTTTAATGTGATCAAAGGTATGAATTGTTAACCACAAAACAAAGAAGCCAGACCATCGATGGTTGAAAAGTTACTGGTAATTTGGATAAATCAGAAAAGGAAGTGGTGTTAAACAACCCAGGGACAAGGGAACAACAAATGATGCAAAAATCAGTGGCAAGGAGGGTGTAAGAGGCCTGGTACAGATTGATTAAGAGCAATGTAACCGAGAGGAATTAGTGAAACCCAAATGAAGGATGAGCATGATGATGGGACAAGAGGAAAGTAAAAGGAAATAGAAGAAAGAACTATCAGGCAAAGCGAATTTATTGAGGTCTAAATACTGGCATGTATTTATATATGATGATGGGGAAATAGATCTATGTGCATATATTTATAGGTCTAGTATTAAGGTACCAGATGGACATTGGGCCTCCGCTCAAGTACTCCCTCCATGCAAGAACAATTTTTTCTATTAAACTGGTATTCCATGATGTTCACCTTCCCAACACTGTCCTTGAAAACAAATGGGTACATAAGCAAAGCTGATGGTGCCCAGCTA